CAGTCAAATCAGCCATGATAAAATGGGCTCAGGACATTGGGTACAACATTATGTTTGAAGACTGGGAAAGGTTATGGACCACTGGTATGAAATTCACGGCATGTAATGCCTTGAAAGAGAATATTATGAAAATGATATACAGGTGGTACATGACCCCAGTCAAGCTTGCTAAGATATATCATTTGTCTGATAATAAATGTTGGAAATGTAAGGAGGCTGAAGGGACATTCTTTCACCTCTGGTGGACTTGCCCAAAAGTGAAGGCCTTCTGGGAAATGATCTATAATGAGTTAAAAAAGTGTTTAAGGACCCTTGTCCCCAGCAACCAGAGGCCTTCCTACTGGGCATGGGCGGTCAGAAGGTGTTAAAGAAGGATAGAACCATTTTTATGTATGCAACTACAGCAGCAAGAATTCTTATCGCAAAATACTGGAAGACTCAAGATTTACCCACACTGGAAGAGTGGCAGACGCAATTGATGGGCTACATGGAATTGGCTGAGATGACTGCCAGGATCCGAGATTTGGAGGAAGAAGCAATGGAGGAGGATTGGAAAAAATTTAAAGATTATTTACAAAAATTTTATAAGTTATATGAATGTTAAGAATTCGCATGATTAGGGAAACTCAGCTCCAGCAATAAGATTAAGGTATGGGAAACTAAGCTAAATTAATGAAAGGACTAACGTTTAAAAGAACATTATATATATTATTAGTGTAAATTGACAATAAGCATTTTAAACGCAAATCACAAGTATTTGAAAGAACAAAAGAATGCACGAAATAAGGTTATAATTTGCTGAAAAATTTTATTGTAAAGAACGCAAGGTGAGGGGGACGGGGGGAAGTCCGGTTGGTTATGGAAAAATGCTTTGAAAAGATGATTTTCTTCTTTTTCTTTCTCTTTTCTGTTATTTCTTTGTATATCTGACCTTGTATTTCTATCTGGAAAAATGCAATAAAAAATATTATAAAAAAAAAAAAAAGATAGTACAAGAATACTTGGCTAGTTTAGATGTATTCAAGTCTCCAGGGCCAGATCAACTGCATCCAAGAGTATTAAAAGAACTGGCAGATGTGATCTCAGAACCACTGGCAGTCATCTTTGAGAATTCCTGGAGAACAGGCGAAGTCCCGGCAGACTGGAGGAGGGCAAATGTTGTCCCTATTTTCAAAAAGGGAAAAGAGAGGACCCAAATAATTACCGCCCAGTCAGTCTGACATCAATACCAGGGAAGATTCTGGAGCAGATCATTAAGCAAACAGTCTGTGAGCACCTAGAAAGGAATGCTGTGATCACCAATAGTCAGCATGGATTTCTGAAAAATAAATCATGTCAGACTAACCTGATCTCGTTTTTTGACAGAATTACAAGCCTGGTAGATGAAGGGAACGCAGTGGATGTAGCCTACCTTGATTTCAGTAAGGCATTTGACAGGGTGCCTCATGATATTCTTGTAAAGAAGCTGGTAAAATGCGGTCTTGACTATGCTACCACTCAGTGGATTTGTAACTGGCTGACTGACTGAACCCAAAGGGTGCTCATCAATGGTTCCTCTTCATCCTGGAGAAGAGTGACTAGTGGGGTGCCACAGGGTTCTGTCTTGGGCCCGGTCTTATTCAACATCTTTATCAACGACTTGGATGATGGACTCAAGGGCATCCTGATCAAATTTGCAGATGACACCAAATTGGGAGGGGTGGCTAACACCCCAGAGGACAGGATCACACTTCAAAACGACCTTGACAGATTAGAGAACTGGGCCAAAACAAACAAGATGAATTTTAACAGGGAGAAATGTAAAGTATTGCACTTGGGCAAAAAAAATGAGAGGCACAAATACAAGATGGGGGACACCTGGCTTGAGAGCAGTACATGTGAAAAGGATCTAGGAGTCTTGGTTGACCACAAACTTGACATGAGCCAACAGTGTGACGCGGCAGCTAAAAAAGCCAATGCAATTCTGGGCTGCATCAATAGGAGTATAGCATCTAGATCAAGGGAAGTAATAGTGCCACTGTATTCTGCTCTGGTCAGACCTCACCTGGAGTACTGTGTCCAGTTCTGGGCACCACAGTTCAAGAAGGACACTGACAAACTGGAACGTGTCCAGAGGAGGGCAACCAAAATGGTCAAAGGCCTGGAAACCATGCCTTATGAGGAACGGCTAAGGGAGCTGGGCATGTTTAGCCTGGAGAAGAGGAGGTTAAGGGGTGATATGATAGCCATGTTCAAATATATAGAAGGATGTCACGTAGAGGAGGAAGAAAGGTTGTTTTCTGCTGCTCCAGAGAAGCGGACACGGAGCAATGGATCCAAACTACAAGAAAGAAGATTCCACCTAAACATTAGGAAGAACTTCCTGACAATAAGAGCTGTTCAACAGTGGAATTTGCTGCCAAGGAGTGTGGATGGAGTCTCCTTCTTTGGAGGTCTTTAAGCAGAGGCTTGACAACCATATGTCAGGAGTGCTCTGATGGTGTTTCCTGCTTGGCAGGGGGTTGGACTCGATGGCCCTTGTGGTCTCTTCCAACTCTATGATTCTATGATTCTATGATTCAATCTGTTACTAAATGTCTTGTATCCTCAAATCTTTTCAGCTTTAATTGTTGTTCTACTTCCATTAGCAACACTTTATAGGTTGCCCATTCACTTTTTGCATTAGTTTTTTTCAAGGATATTGCTTCCAGTGAGGAAAGCTACCATGGTGTCTTCTGCTCTAATAGGTTTTTATATTTCTCCCATACTGCGAAAATTGATTTCATAGAATCATAGAATCATAGAGTTGGAAGAGACCACAAGGGCCATCAAGTCCAACCCCCTGCCAAGCACTTCCCTAAGTTTTATGAAGTCGGCTTTCTTAAAGTCAAGAAATTGAGTCCTAGTATGCTTGGCTGCTCCTTTCCGCTGTATAGTAAACTTCAGAAGAGCATGATCACTCGTGCCTAATGATCCTTCCACTTCTACCCCACTAACCAGGTCATCAACATTGGTTAGGACCAGATCTAAAATGGCTGTTCCTCTTGTTGCTTCTCCCACTTTCTGGACAATAAAGTTGTCTGCAAGGCCAGTGAGGAATCTGTTTGACCTTACGCTCTTGGCTGAGTTTGACATCCAACAAATATCCGGGTAATTGAAGTCCCCCATTACTCCTATCTCCCTTCCTTTTGCATGCTTGGCCATCTGTTCCAGGAAGGCATCATCTATGTCCTCCGTTTGGCTTGGGGATCTATAGTAAACTCCCACAATGAGGTCACTGTTATTCTTCTCTCCCTTAATTTTGACCCAAATGCTCTCACCTTGGCTTTGAGGTTCTAAATCTTGGATCTCTTCACAGGTATACAAATCCCTGACATATAACGCCACTCCTCCTCCTTTCTTGTCTGGTCTGTTTCTCTGAAATAGATTGTATCCCCTATTATTACATTCCAATCATGGGACTTAATTGATTGGTTGCAATACCATCAATTAAATGATGTGTTTAACATTGATAAGAAAAATGGGTTTAGTAGGTAAATTTCAAGGTTTGAAAAAGAAAACAATGTGAAGTTACTTTCCAAAATGTATAGTTGTTGCTAGAATGGCATACTATAGATGAGGAAGTTAAATCGGTAATGATACAATGGGCAAAAGATATTGGGCACAGTATTCAATTTTCATCTTGGGAAAAGTTATGGAGGGAGGACTTAAAATTTACAGCATGCTGTGCATTGAAGGAGAACTATATGAAAATGATGTAACACCTACAAAATTAGCAAGGATGTATAGAACTACTTCAAATATATATTGGAAGGGTATAGAGAAGGAAGGCACGTTCTACCACATGTGGTGGATGTGCAAGATAACAAAAAGATTCTGGGAAATGATATATAATGAGCAGAAGAAATGTTTAAAACAACGTTTGGGGGGAGGCAGAAGCTTTTTTACTGGAAATTTCAGATGTAGAGATAACAAAGGATCAGAAACGATTATTTATGTATGCGAGGACAACTGCGTGGATACTACTGGCCCAAAGATGGAAAAAAGACGAAGTCTTGACCAGGCACGAATGGTTGATGTAGATGATGGACAACACCAAAATGGCAAAAATGGCCAGGGAAATCAGAAACCAGGACATAGTAACTTTAATAAGGAATGGGAAAAAATATACAATTTACTTAAGAGAACACTGTAAAGAACTAAAAACTTTGACAGGATTTGAGTAACGCTTGCAATGTACTAAAAGCTAAGGTAAAAATGGATTATTTTAAGAAAAATAGAGAAAATATATGATGCAGTAGAAAAGTTTGATAATGGAAACCATGGAGGGAGGAGGGAATCCTAAATGTTGATGATTGTGACTAATGCTTGAATTCAAACGAATTGTGTAAAACTGAATAAAAAGGATTTTATTTTCTTTTTTAAAAAAGAGAGAATAGCCATGTTTGTGTAGCTCCCTATTAGAGAAAGCTCCACGGCCATTGCTGGCTCTAATAGAGACCTTCCTTGTAGTTGTGTAAGTGGCTGATTCATACCTGGCACACTCGGCCATTGGCACATTCAACTCCTGAGGTCTCACTTCATTCTTTTCACCCTCTGGAAACCACGTCGAAGACAGCAGGATCAGTTTTGCTGCTTAAAGCCTCCATTGCATCCACAGCCCATTCTACACTTTCCAGCCTTCTTGGAATGGATCTAGTATCCAGGCTTTTCCTGAAGGAGCGTCTCCACCCCACCCACAATTCAGCCCAAACACCGAGCTCTAGTTCTGAGGGCCTTCTGGAGGTTTTCTCACTGTGAGAAATGAGGTTAGAGAGAACCAGGCAGAGGGCCTTCTTGGGAGTGGTACCCACACTGTGGAATGACTTCCCATTAGATGTCAAGGAGATAAGTAATTATAGAACTTTTGGAAGACATCTGAAGGCATTTTGAGGGGCTATTTTGTATGTTTCTTCAGGGCTTTTGCCCTTGCCTATTTGGCTCTAAATTGCTTTCTTGAGTGCCTTCATCATTTACATTGTAAATTGTAAATTATCTATATCAAAAAAGAAATCTTAGAAGTGTCTATCAACAACTAATGAGATCATAGATAACTCCTTCACTGAGCTTTGAATTTCAGTATGTTCCTCTTTATCTTGGTGGTGAACAAACAACACCCATTCCCGGACCTCACTGAACCATTTGTTCCCAAGTGTTGTCTGCGACATGATATCATGGCTTATAAATAACTCCACGTAAGCCTCTACCTGCACCAATTCCCTTGTTGATCCATCTCTGCTCTGAGTCTCCTAATCTTTCCAGAATGATGAAGGCACTCCTGAGCGCATGCCTCCTCTTGGTCCTGCTTTCTCCAGGTAAGATGGGGAACATTTAATTACCTTTAGAGGACACTGAAAAGAACTTGCAGCTTGGTAGAGAAGGGGAGTTAGAAGTGCAGATCAACTCCCTAGAGAGCAAGGAGGGCAGGGTTACCAAGAGAAAGTAGCAGAGAATTAAGTCATGAATATTTCTTGTGTTGTCATTATGATGGGCCCGCCGACTCTTTTTCCCCTGGCACCGTTGGGCCCGTCCTCTCACTTAAGTATAGTGCACCCAACTCACCGAACACCAATCCCACGGATTTCCACAGTCTACCTCAGATTATCTTGTAGGGGATTTGCGTGAAGTAAAATTTAATAATTAGGAGTTTCGGGCAGGATTTGCTCAAATAAAGAATAACAATTTTATTTAACAAGAAAGTTTATGACACGAGTAGATAAAACAGAATACTTCAGTCTACAATGTTATTTCACTTCAAGGTTTTCTCAGTTGTTCACACTTAATACTTTGGTTCTTAACAAGGTGGTACTTTCTGTCAGTTACACACCCCTAGACAACCCTGCTGTTGAGGCACTCCAAGGTTTCACTGGTTTGGGAGTCTTCTCTTACTAGAAGAATCTCTCCCCTCCTGACTGGAATAAGTAGACTGTCTCTTTACAGCTTCTACTTCTCCTGTCTCAACCTCAGCCCCCCAGTTAATTCCTGGCCTAAATGCTCTTACAGGACACCACACACTGTCCTTCACACTAAGCTCAGAGACTCCTTTCTCTAGCGTGTGATATTTTCCTCAGAGTGGATGTTTCTGCCCAGAACCAACACTCACTCCCTATCTTCCTACCTATCCACCCAACCTCTCAATCCCAACCTACTCCAAAACCTCCTCCCAACACTCCCTCCAAAACGCACTCCTTCTTTCTCTCCATATTCTCTCCTTTTCAACTCCCCCTCCTGGAACCTTGGCCAATCAGATGGTGCCATACATTAACCATTTTCTGGCATGGGAAAAAGAAAAAGGAAATACTTGGGGACCCAACCTGCCCCAACAAAAACAAACTTTTCCTTCACAGTCATCCAGATAAATGATGTCATAGAGATAAATAATAAATACCTCACAGGAATCTTCTGAGGATTAAATAGGGAGGGGGAAACTATGTACACAGCCTTGAGCTTCTTGGAGGAAGTGGATGCAGATAAAAAATAAATCGGAAAAATAGAAACTGAAAGTAAGTTAAATTGATAGATTGGTTCATCCCTAGTCCAGGATCCTGTCCTCACACTGGCCATCCCAATGATTATGGAAGCTCACAGTCAGGACCTCAGTGAAACAACACTCTGGCTTACTCTGAGTTCCAGCAACTGATATCTGAAATATGCAACTTTTTATACTGGAGGTAGTACATAGGCATCATGGTTAGTAGCCACTGAGAATCTTATTTTCCATCAATTTGTCTAATTCCCTTATAAAGCCATTCAAATTGGTGGCATTGACTACCTCTTGTAGAAAATTCCATAGTTTAATTGTGCTAAGATGTAAGTTTGTAACCAAACAGTGGGAAGAAAATATATTTAAGTGAGAGTCTGGATGGGGGGGAAGGTTGGCCATGGGCAAGGGCCGAGTTCACCTCCCCACCTCTTGGAAATAATTTAACTGGTATTCTGGGCAGTGGCTTCAAGAGTTTTAATTAATGAGTGTTTTATTCATTCTATTCTATTCTATTAAAATGCTTTTAAAATTGAACCCCTTTTAATTTAGAAGTATTAATTGACTCTCACCTCCTCCTTTGTGTGTCACTTAGCAAACTGCAAAACCAATTAATAATAATGTTAATGATAATAATAATAATAATAATTAATAATTCATGAAGTAAACTTTTGCTTCTGTCTTCAGCATTACCTCTGCACTGCAGATATAGTTATAACAAGACTGGAATGACATACAATAGCTATCTTGAAACAACTTGTGACTCCGATAAAGATTCCTGTGAGGCCAGTGTTCTGCGTACAAATATAAGTAAGATTTGCCTGATTTTTTTTGTCTTTTACTGTTTGATTAGATCCAGGTTAAGATAGTTGAACTTTAAGGGTTCTAATAGCCTATAGAAGTCTACGCTGGGGCAACTCACCTATGAAAAAAGTGAAGTGAGGAAGCTGTGGCACTTCAGCTGTAGATGAATTAGAACTCTCATCAGCCTCAGCTAGCCAGGCCACCAGTCAGGGATGATGGGAGATGCAGTCCAACAACATCTGGAGGATCACAGCTTCCCATCCTGAAGTAAGGAATGGCTTGCATTTGAAAATGGGGAATCTAACATCACCTGCTCACAACCAGTGGCTGAATCTGGGTGCTTATCTCCAAGCTTGGGGAACTTGATTTGCATTAACTAGAAATCCCCATTGACCCAAACCAATGGACTCCAATTTAGTTTTAGTTATCAAACGAGACAATAAGCCTAGAATATAACCTGAATATCCCCTTTGCCATAAATAACATTGAAATAGAGACTCCTTTCACAGATCTATAAAAAAACTAATCAAAAGCTGAGCAATTGGGATGGGAAATGAAGGTGCTTCACACTTTCATGGCCCCCCTCCCCCCTCAAGTAATTTTGAAATAACTCTCAGTGATGAAATGATTAGGAAGGAACCAACATTAAGGGAGTATTCTTGTAGTTCACCTATTAAAAAGGGTTTCCGTTACCCAGCTTGATTCAGTGTGGGCCCCTCCAACCTGATGAACTTCTTTCATACTTCAACATTGGTTAAGGTTGTTTTGATCCCCTTGCTTGATCCTGATTCACCCACCCCCTCTACCTAGAAGGACATGAGTGCCATTTCTGGTTCGTCTGAGGCGCCAAAATGGGTGGGATGGTGGTGCTCACTTGACCATCTGTTCCAACATCACTGGTACATTCTTGGGGGGAGAGGGGCAAGTGGGCAGTAAGGCTGGTGCAATGCAAGTGTCTTGCCAAGTGTCTTGCACTGGGCAACAGGAGTTCAGGGAAGCATTCCCCCACCCTACAAACTGTTATGATCGACTAGCAGAGAGAGTGCAGTGTATGGCACATGTATTGTCAGATGTATAGGAGAAGGCATGAGTCCTCGTGCTTGAAATTTGATGTGAAATGAAGTTCTGCATACATTCCAAATTTAAAGCATTATACAAATTAATTGCAAACATAAAAAAAGAGATTGGTCCTATGGATTAATGAGGCAAGAGACTACTGCTTGTGGCAGAGAGCTGAACTCATAAATGCCTGCAGAAGACTATTCTGTTCCACCTGGGCTATGCAGATCATTAAGAATAGATCTTTCCACACTGGTTAATTGATATCTATTGATTTACTTTTAATGTGGGTTTTTTGTATCTTTTACCATATTTTTCGCTCTATAGGACGCACTTTTCCCCCTCCAAAAATGAAGGGGGAATGTGTGTGCGTCCTATGGAGTGAATGCAGGCTTTCGCTGAAGCCTGGAGAGCGAGAGGGGTGGGTGCGCATCGACCCCTCTCGCTCTCCAGTCTTCAGGAAGCTATCCGCAATCCTTCAGAGCACGGTGGGAGCTCCGGCCGGGCTCCAAAGGCTTGCGGACAGCAGCCTGCAGCCCGAAGCCCGGTGAGCGGGCTTTGGGCAGCTGCGCAACTTTGTCTCCACTCCAGGACCTGTTCTGGGGGCTGGGGTCGGGGGAAGCTCGGGCTTCCCCCGCCCCAGCCCCACGGCTAAAATCGAAGCCCCACGCAGCCTCTCCCGGCTGGAGAGGTTGTGCATGGCTAAAGAGGAATCCAAGACAGCCAGTGGGATGGATCCCACTGGCTGTCTTGGTTTCTTTGCTCTTTGGGGCTGGGGGGAGGGGAATAAAACTAGGTGCGCCCTATGGAGTGAAAAATACGGTATGTATGAAATGTATGAAAAACATTTTGATATTTTTCATCTTATGTGATATCAGTGCACACGCATTTAAACAAACAAACAAACAAACAAACAAACAAACAGCACCTTACTTTTGATTGCCAAATTTAATAATACTTTCCATATTGTTAGTTTGAAAAGGTCCTGATTCAGGCATCAAAGAAAATTGGAACCATTACAATGAATGTGCCTTAGGAGCAATGGTCCTGAATATTTTTCCCAGATCTAGATATTTCTTTCATTTTCTTTTTCATAGGGGGACACCGAGTGCAACTTTTGAATCAATGCAGATCATCCGATGATTGTTTCCCAGGCAGTTACAGCTTCACTGCAGGGGATGGTAAATTCTTTGAGATGAAGCAGTTCTGCTGCAAGACTGAACTGTGTAACAATGCAACTCTCAGCCGTAAGTTTCTGTATAATTTTAAAATCCTCAACATGTTAGGGCTTTGCATTGGATTTGGCCAAGGACTGGATCCTTAGTCAACCAGCAGTACTCAGAGGACCTGGGCCTCATTCAAAAGGGGTGAGACAGCCCCAGATGGCTATATGGGTTGAGCAGGTCAGCACTATTAGGGCCCCTCAAGGCGTGGAGAGGCAGGCAGGACGAAGAAGCAGGCATGAAGAGAAACTGTGAAGAAGAGGGACCTACTGGGCAGCTACATCTCTGCCTGAGAAGGGATGGGTTCCCTTTCCAACCAGGCCTTGCCTGAATCTGTCCCATTGTCAATCCTAAACCCAGACTGGGTCTAGATAATCTTTTCATCCAATAATACTTGCAGGTGCCCCACCAAAACTGTAAAGCCCTAGGGTGAATTACAATAATATAACATACAGGTACAAAAACAGATACAGTGGTACCTTGGGTTAAGTACTTAATTCATTCCGGAGTTCTGTTCTTAACCTGAAACTGTTCTTAACCTGAAGCACTACTTTAGCTAATGGGGCCTCCAGCTGCCGCCGTGCCGCCGGAGCACGATTTCTGTTCTCATCCTGAAGCAAAGTTCTTAACCCGAGGTAATATTTCTGGGTTAGCGGAGTCTGTAACCTGAAGCGTATGTAACCCGAGGTACCACTGTAAAACCATTAACATGCTCACTATACTTTTGATCGGCTGGGTGAGGACTGCAGGGCCTGCTCCCTTCCAGGGCCTTTTCCAACTGGCCCAGGGGGCGTGGCCCGGGCCCTCTCTCCCAGCTACAAAGGGACTCCTGCTGCGGTGAGGCCTCGGACCATCGGCTGGGTGAGGACTGCAGGGCCTGCTCCCTTCCAGGGCCTTTTCCAACTGGCCCAGGGGGCGTGGCCAGGCCCTTTCTCCCAGCTATAAAGGGACTCCTGCTGCAGGGAAGCCTCGGACCATCGGCTGGGTGAGGACTGCAGGGCCTGCTCCCTTCCAGGGCCTTTTCCAACTGGCCCAGGGGGCGTGGCCAGGCCCTTTCTCCCAGCTATAAAGGGACTCCTGCTGCAGGGAAGCCTTGGACCATCGGCTGGGTGAGGACTGCAGGGCCTTTCCAACTGGCCCAGGGGGCGTGGCCAGGCCCTTTCTCCCAGCTATAAAGGGACTCCTGCTGCAGGGAAGCCTTGGACCATCGGCTGGGTGAGGACTGCAGGGCCTGCTCCCTTCCAGGGCCTTTTCCAACTGGCCCAGGGGGCGTGGCCCAGGCCCTCTCTCCCAGCTACAAAGGGACTCCTGCTGCGGTGAGGTCTCGGACCATCGGCTGGGTGAGGACTGCAGGGCCTGCTCCCTTCCAGGGCCTTTTCCAACTGGCCCAGGGGGCGTGGCCAGGCCCTTTCTCCCAGCTATAAAGGGACTCCTGCTGCGGGGAAGCCTCGGACCATCGGCTGGGTGAGGACTGCAGGGCCTGCTCCCTTCCAGGGCCTTTTCCAACTGGCCCAGGGGGCGTGGCCCAGGCCCTTATTTGGAACAAACTTTTGGGGAAGTGTGGGAAGTGTTCTGCCATTGCTTCCCTGTTCCAGGTGGTTAATGTGCTTTAAAATGTCCTCAAGCAGTCGGTGGCAATTTCAATTTTTATTCCTTTTTTCCCTTTTTTCCTTTGTTGGGGGTGGGTGGGTGGGATGGATAGTTGGTTGGGGATTAATTTTAGCATAATTGTTCTGTTCCTTTTTGTTGTTGTTTTATTGGTTCTGTATAGTTTGTGTTTTGTTTTTAAGGGGTGGGATCAGGGCTGCCTGGGAGTGGCTACCCAGCCAACACGATGGCTGGGACAAGTTCCACAGGGGGGGAAGCACTGGGACATCCGATCTCGGTGATTATGGGCAGGAGGCGGAGTTACGCTAAGACCAGACCATGTCATTACCGAGGAGGCAGGTTTAGTCGTTGTTTGAAGACTATCCCTGCCTCCGGGTCTGGCCTTGACCGGATGGATACTGGAATCAACAGGGGAAACCCACATGACCTGAAAGTGTTGCTGTGCAATGCCAGGTCGATGATGAATAAAACCACTGCCATCCACGACTTGATTGTGGATGGAGGATTTGACCTGGCATGTGTGACGGAGACCTGGTTGGAGGAAGAGGATGGGCCTGTCCTTGCCGCTGCTTGCCCACCAGGTTTCTCTTACGCACAGCAACCCAGGTCATGTGGGCGGGGAGGGGGGGTTGCAGTGATTTTTAGAAAGTCACTAGCTTGCACCAGGTGTCCTACTGGGAAGATCCAGTTCTCTGAGTGCATGTTCTGGAAGTTGGGCAATAGGGGCAGTACAGGATTCCTTTTGGTGTACCGACCTCCCCGCTGCACCAAGGATTCCCTGTCCGAGCTGCTTCAGGTCGTGGCTGATTTTCTCCTGGAGACACCTAGTTTGGTTGTCCTAGGGGGATTTTAACATCCATGCCGACACGACCTTACAAGGGGCCGCTCGGGACTTCGTGGAAAGCATGGCCTCCATGGGGCTGTCCCTGAATAAGTTTGGCCCAACTCATAGTCATGGACATGCCTTAGACCTGGTGTTCACCTCTAGTGACGTGGGTGATCTGACACTAAGTAAAAGTGAAACAAAAGAAGTGCCATGGTCAGATCACTTCCTGGTGCAACTGGACTTCTCCGCAACCCTTCCCCTCTGCAGGGAGGTGGGACCAATTCGGATGGTCCGCCCCCGCCACTTAATGGATCCAAATGGTTTCCAGAGAGTGGTAGGGGATGCTTTAGCCCATGTTGATGGCCTTTCAGCTGATTCCCTGGTGGCCCGCTGGAATGCGGAGTTAACCAGGGCTATCGACTGTCTGGCTCCCAAAGCGGCCTCTCCGATTGCATGGAGCCCGGACAGCCCCGTGGTTTTCTTCGGAGCTGAGGGCGATGAAACAATCGCTGAGACGGCTAGAGCGTTGGTGGCAGAAAACTCACTCCGAATCTGACCGGACACAGGTTAGAGCTCAACGTCAAGCCTACCAAGTGGCGATAGCGACGGCGAAGAAGACTTTCTTCACCGCCTCTATTGCATCTGCAGAAAATAGTAGCAGGAGACTCTTTCAGGTGGTTCGCAATTTAACGGAACCACCTTTACCACCGGGGCATTGTAAAGACCCCAAGATCTCCTGCAACGATTTTGCAAAGTTTTTGCAGATAAAATCACTCATATTCGGAAGGAGCTAGACACCACCGTGGGAGCAGGGCCAGGGCGGGAGAGTGCTAGAGCTCTGTCTGGTCAAGTTGCATGGAATCAATTTCAATCCATTACCCCGAGGATGTGGACAGGCTGCTTGGACGCGTGAAAGCAACCACCTGTCTCCTTGATCCTTGCCCATCCTGGCTAATAAAAGCAAGCCGGGAAGGGCTGGGCGATGGGCTCTGCGGGGTGGTGAATGCTTCCCTCTGTGAGGGAACATTCCCAGATCCGCTGAAAGAGGCGGTCATTAAACCGCTTCTTAAAAAACCATCTTTAGACCCGGCCAGTATGGCCAACTATCGCCCAGTCTCAAATCTTCCATTCTTGGGCAAGGTGATTGAGCGCGTGGTTGCTGAACAACTCCAGGCACGCCTGGAGGATGCGGACCATTTGGATCCCTTCCAATCGGGATTCAGGCCTCACCATGGGACTGAAACTGCCTTGGTCGCACTGGTTGATGATCTCCGGCGAGCTAGGGACAAAGGTGAGAGTTGTTTCCTGGTTCTGCTGGATCTCTCAGCGGCCTTTGATACAATCGACCATAACATCCTTCTGGACCGTCTAGAGGGGCTGGGAGCTGGGGGCACTGTTATACAGTGGTTTCGCTCCTTCCTCCTGGGCCGTGTTCAGAAAGTGGTGGTGGGGGATGAGTGTTCAGACCCCTGGGCCCTCACTTGTGGGGTGCCTCAGGGTTCCGTCCTCTCCCCCATGCTTTAACATCTATATGAAGCCGCTGGGAGAGATCATCAGGGGATTTGGACTGGGTGTCCATCAATATGCAGATGATACCCAGCTCTACCTCTCTTTCAAATCAGAACCAGTGAAGGCGGTGAAGGTCCTGTGTGAGTGCCTGGAGGCGGTTGGAGGATGGATGGCGGCTAATGGATTGAAGTTGAATCCTGACAAGACAGAAGTATTGTTTTTGGGAGACAGGGGCGGGCTGGTGTGGAGGACTCCCTGGTCCTGAATAGGGTAACTGTGCCCCTGAAGGACCAGGTGCGCAGCCTGGGAGTCATTTTGGACTCACAGCTGTCCATGGAGGCACAGGTCAATTCTGTATCCAGGGCAGCTGTCTACCAACTCCACCTGGTACGCAGGCTGAGACCCTACCTGCCCGCGGACTGTCTCGCCAGAGTGGTGCATGCTCTGGTTATCTCCCGCTTGGACTACTGCAATGCGCTCTACGTGGGGCTACCTTTGAAGGTGACCCGGAAACTACAATTAATACAGAATGCGGCAGCTAGACTGGTGACTGGGGGCGGCCGCCGAGACCACATAACACCGGTCTTGAAAGACCTACATTGGCTCCCAGTACGTTTCCGAGCACAATTCAAAGTGTTGGTGTTGACCTTTAAAGCCCTAAACGGCCTCGGCCCAGTATACCTGAAGGAGCCGTCTCCACCCCCATCGTTCTGCCCGGACGCTGAGGTCCAGCGCCGAGGGCCTTCTGGCGGTTCCCTCATTGCGAGAAGCAAAGCTACAGGGAACCAGGCAGAGGGCCTTCTCGGTAGTGGCGCCCGCCCTGTGGAACGCCCTCCCATCAGATGTCAAAGCAATAAATAACTACCTGACATTTAGAGGGCATCTTAAGGCAGCCCTGTTCAGGGAAGCTTTTAATCTGTGATATTTTACTGTATTTTTTGTTTCTATGGAAGCCGCCCAGAGTGGCTGGAGAAACCCAGCCAGATGGGCGGGGTACAAATAATAAATTATTATTATTATTATTATTATTATTATTATTATTATTATTTTGGCAGTTTCTGATCGCAACGTGCTGGCTGAAAATGGCCTGAAATGCCCAGCCTGCTTCTCCAAAGGAACCACACAGTGTAAAAGTGAGAAGACCATCAACTGCCTTGAGAATGAGACCCAGTGTGTTGTTTTTAAAGGATCTCTTCTTAGAGGTAACATTGCTACTTAGACAGGGGGAAAGGGCCTAGTCATCGGATGGGTCACACAGACTCACCCCTGTTCTCCTATGCTCCCCCTCCCTTCCCTTTCCCTTGCATATTACTAGAAATGTGAGAGGGTCCACATCTCTAACTGGGCCCATTCCTGCACCCTTCCTTAGTGTTTTGCCTGCCTGGACTGTGTCCTTTAACTCTCATAATGCCACTTGCTTGTCCAGAAGGAGTATTCCCCTTGGCTGGGGAGGGCGGGGTATAAATAAATAAAAATTATTATTATTATTATTATTATTATTAAAAACACCCTTCTGAACAAAAGTAAAAAGTGCATTCATTGCTTCACCCCAGTTGCATCTGGATCTGTCCACCATTGGGTTGCAGTCGAGGACAAAATGTGTCCCCCTTGCTCAAAAAGCACATTTATTATGTAAAAGGCATGTAACAAGTTTTCTTAAATTCTGTGACAATGAGCAGTATCTGGCTAACTAATTCTGTGCACCAGAATTTCTGCTCTTGGAAACTTGTAAAATAAAAGGAGGATTCTATGGATGCTTAGATCACAGTGGGGCAATGAGGAAGCCTCAGTGGGCATCCAACCATCCTGAGAGACAATGAAGTGCATCTCCAGCTTTTTGTTAGTGTGTCACTGCATCACACTGTTGTCTCATGCCAGGTTAAAACACTCAAGGTTCCCACACCAGGGAGGGAGTGTTGTTTTCAAATCTTGCTGTGTGGCCACAGCATGTGATTTTAACTTGCCCAGGAGATAGCAGGGATAGAGTTCCTCCCATTTTATTGCAACTCAGCTGCACACAAGAATTTGATCTGCTTAATCTAGTTAATTAGGCCTGTTTTCAGATTCTCTACTTTCATTATAGTTTATAAATATAATGTCAGAGGCTGGACTGAGGAGGAATGGTGGGAGCTGCCCCTTCTTTTCTGATTTCCTGAAGCCTGACAGATAAACTGTTTATTAATAATCTTGAGACTCCTTTGGGTATGATGGCCATTCTGAATTACATATGAGTTTATTTTTATCCAAACTTCATGTTGAAAATTTTATTTATTCATGTTCTAATGAAATTATATTTTTCAGATTTCTTAAATATACACATTTTAAAACTAACTAAAATTGTCATTTAGCCTCACAAGCACAATCTCCTAGTACCTGGGTAAAGGACTAATGTCAACATTTCTTTCCTTTTCTTCTAGCCCTCAAAGATCTCCCCGATTTCACGTTCCAAGGCTGTGGAACAACAGATTTTTGTGCCTTCCACAGAAGAACACTTGGATCTGGGGGATATGTCCTTTTTATTACCCAAAAAAGATGCTATAATGCTTCAGGAATCTCACACCAGCCTGAACATGAAGGGTAAATAGGACAGTGTAGACCTCCTCCTTGTGCATTGCAAAATCCATGGCAGTGAGGGGGAACTGGAGGCCTAGTGGTGAAATCCTGGACTCAGGATCTGTGGATCTTTCTATTTTGCTTTTGGTGGGGATAAGGGAAGCAAGGGGCAGAGAAAAATGGGTCAAAAATGTGTGGGTTGTAGATTCTAACTACAAAGAACCCTTTAGTGTATCACTAACAAATAATTTTTATTATGATCATTACAAAACAAAATAAATGGTTATGGGAAATAAAATTTTGGTTCTTAGTTCTGTTTCAGATACAAATGCAATTATTATTTGTTGGTTTAGCTGAAGCAATTACAAAATATAAAATAAATAAAACAGGATAAACGCAGAATAATTTTTCCTCCTTTTAATCGTCACTGTAAAAGCAGAACAGACCACTTTTTCAGAGGTGTATGGGCACTTGTCCCTTAATAAAAAGTTAATCATATACCCAATCTATCTCTCAGTTGAACAAAACTTCTCTTAAGTCCTCATTGTTGTTGTTGTTGTTGTTGTTTAGTCGTGTCCGACTCTTCGTGACCCCATCTACCTTAGCACGCCAGGCACTCCTGTCTTTCACTGCCTCCTGCAGTTTGGTCAAACTCATGCTGCTAGCTTCGAGAACACTGCCCAACCATCTCGTCCTCTGTCGTCCCCTTCTCCTTGTGCCCTCAATCTTTCCCAACATCAGGGTCTTTTCCAGGGAACCTTCTCTTCTCATGATGTGGCCAAAGTATTGGAGCCTCAGCTTCACGATTTGTCCTTCCAGTGAGCACTCAGGGCTGATTTCCTGAAGAATGGATAGGTTTGAACTTTTTGCAGTCCATGGAACTCTCAAGAGTCTCCTCCAGCACCATAATTCAAAAGCATCAATTCTTCGTTGATCAGCCTTCTTTACGGTCCAGCTCTCACTTCCATACATCACTATTGGGAAAACCATAGCTTTAACTATACTAAGTCCTCATAGATGGAACAAACCAGCAAGTAGTTGGGTAGATATTTAGGAACCTCTATCTCCATGTAGGCAAACCTTTTATACCTAGGGCATCCGGTGATAGCATCCTTCAAAAAGACGGACTTCATACACTGGAGTCACAGAGCTGTAAATGCTTTCCCCCATTTGGTATTTGTGATGCTGGTTACATAGTGATGGTGTTGAATGTGTAGTTTGGCATATCAAGGTGCAGGATGGTCCCACCCATGAGGCAAGGTGTGGTGACCATCTTAGGTGGCTGGATTGATAGGGGTCGTCAGGAACATGGCCCCCCAGAGCATAGCAGGACAGTCAGTCTCAGAAATTGAGCTGAGCTAGCAAAGGGCTAACTCTGCAGATGCGAGCTGTCTGAGTTTAGAGAGGACAGCCCACCCCCTTTTCCCAGGGAATAATCTGTTTGTTCTCATGAGGAAGAGAGGAAGAGTTGGAAGCCAGGCAACCATCAGATAAGCCAGAGTCTGAGGCTGTGTCTTCTGGGGAAGAAAGGTAAAAAGGTAAATGCCCCCTGGACAGTTAAGTCCAGTCAAAGGCAACTATGGGGTTGTGGCGCTCATCTCGCTTTCAGGCCAAGGGAGCCAGCGTTTCTCCACAGACAGCTTTCCTTGTCATGTGGCCAGCATGACTTAACCACTTCTGGTGCAACGGGACACCGTGACGGAAACCAGAGCGCATGGAAACGCCGTTTACCTTCCCACCACAGTGGTACCTATTTATCTACTTGCACGGGTGTGCTTTTGAGAACTGCTAGGTTGGCAGGAGCTGGGACAGAGCAACGGGAGCTCACCCCGTGATCGGGAAGCCAAGAGGCTCAGTGGTTTAGACCACAGCGCCACCCGCATCCCTCTGGGGAAGATACAGGCCAGCAATTCAGTCCCTGAATGAGGAGACTGGAGAAGCTTTAAGAGCAACAGAAGTGAAGGAGAAGAAAGGCGGGATTTTGGCATTCATGGATACAATGTTTGCGGGATTTTGGCGTTCATGGATACAATGTTCCAAGACCCCCAGAGGCTGGCTGTCACTTCCAGGCAATTGCTTAATTTGAGGCAGAGGAGTAGAATAGTGATGCAATTTTGGTTGGAGTTCAATATATGGTGACAACAGCTGGAGTGGGGGATAAGCCCTCGTGGCGGTGTATCAAGCCGGGCTTAATGGGGACTTACTGGATGAACTGGCCAGGATGCACCCCCTCGTCATTAGAGAGCATGGTACAGGCTTCTCTCTGCAACTATGGAACGAAGGATCAAAAGTAGGGGCCAGGCAGGCAGCCATTAAAGATGGCTGGCATTCCTGATATTTCAGCGCGAAGGTGTGGCAGTATGCCCAGAGAGGAACTGGGGGGCAGGCTTCAGACTTCGTCGGCTGAGCGAGAGAGAAGGAGAAGAGAGAGGCTGTGTTTTGTCTGTGGCATGCCATGCTCTGGATGTGTTTTTCTTGTAAATAAATTACATAAAACTGATGGAGAGTCCTCAATGCTTATCCTTGGCCATTAGGAGGTGCTGCTAGTCTCCTCCAGTCCTTGTTTCCTGTGGATATATATATATCTATCTATATATAAAATCTTTATTGAGGTCCAAAGACCTATAGAACAATTTCAGAAGAAAATACAGTTAAGACAGCCAACCACAAAAGAGAGAGAGAAACTGAGGTGGTCATTTTGTTTTGTCTCGAGCTTGATGATCTTTGTTTCATTTGACTTCCCAAAGAAACTTTGCCATGGCCAGTGTAATATCATCAAACCTGTTATCCAAAAGGTATTTAATATGGCAGGCTTCAGATTTTTCCGGCAGATTTGCTGGTAGGGGTTTGATCATTTGGTCCCTTGCTTGCTCGTACTGCCCATAATGCAGTAAGATATGCTTCATGCAGTCGATGTTCTGAGGACATAAAGCCTATTCTGATAAGTGATGCTTCTCAGTCTACCATTTAGCACTTCTGAAGGAAATACATTTAGTCTGGCTTTGGTAAATAAATGCTGATAGGTCGGTACAGACAGGTTCCTAAGCTATGAGGATATCTGAAAGTCATACCCATATTGGATTCCTGCTGCTACCGGGCCACAGATTAAATGGGGTTGAGATTGCAGGTCCCTATGTGAAATGTTTCCTGTGGAGATCTTTATTCCTCACCCCTCACATTGTTCCTGATGTCGATCTTCACTTAACCCCTTTTTCCCTGGAATGGGGAGGTACTATTTTGTGGTTTGCCTCAGCTGCCAACATGTCTTGGGCCAGCCTTAGCAAGGAGCACATTTGACAAGACAGGCAGAAGTGTGATGAGCACAGAAATAATGCTTTAAAATATGAGATTTCATATGGCAAGGTGCCATCTCACTAGCTAGCACATTCATACTCATCAATAAAGTGTAGCATTTCCTTATACCTAGCTAGAGGCTCCCACTGTTATAAGTCAGCATCTCATTGAAACCTCCACCTCCTTTTAAAATTCCTAAGGGAAAGGATATGCACTCTGACGACTGAGCAAACACCAGCTTCCCTAGGAGCCAACTCCTAGGGGCAAGGGGTCCTCCAATAAATTGTCTGAGGGAGCTGCCCCCCCCCAAAGTTGATGGGCATTGCCATTCAGATGGTATGTGTGCACCACATCATGTGACTGATTGGGTGGGGCGGGGCTAACTAGCCCCTCACCCCTATATTGTTCACGTTGGCACAGCTGACAACTTCCAAAAGGAGAAGCTTTGGGCAGCTCTAAGATAGTGCATATATTTTTATTCCTTGGTTTTACAAATTCCGCTTATGGGGAGATCCCCATTTTGTACCCCATAACAGATTTGTGGGGTGACTTTGACTTCATAGGTTTTGAGGGCTGGGGAATTTGTATACACCCTTTACTCCAACAGAACGTTGATAGAGAGTTGACTGAATTAATCCCCAATGTATTGTATTTACAAAGTGCTTATTCCAATTGAAAAACATAAACCTAGTTATTTAAAAGATTTCACCAGATCAGTGAGTGAGGTGCTCAAGTTGCCACTTGTGTTTTTTAACCTATTGGCAGAAATCAAAACATTTGTCTTTTTATAATTAAGTTTAAGTTTTTCTTGCATTATCAAGTCATCTTTCTGATGAATACTTCAGAATGGGGAAGCATATATAGCAGACAGGAAGGATGAAAGTTACAGGACCCGGGGGGGGGCACTAGGGGCACCTTGGAAGATGGCTGCCAATACCATCTGTCCAGCTTGCACAAGGTAATTAGAGGCTGATTATGGGGAGTAAATCAGTCTCCCTCATCTTTCCAGGGAATTGGAAAGATGCTGCCCTCGCCCGCGGTTGCCATAAATCACCCCCGAGTTCGGATAAAGGAGGGGGTGAGAGGCACTGGGCGGAAAGCCCTCGGGCAGGCTCGGAGCTCCCTGCCAGCTGCTTTCTTCGTTGCCACCACCCCACTTCTCACGGGGACACACAGAGTCCAGACAGTTGTTAACACAAGCAAATAATGAAGTTTATTTTTAAGTGCAGGAATAAGTGTATGGTTTTGGTTTATTTTTCTCTTGTCAGTTTCTTAAATCTTAGTTCCTAACAACTTCAAACTGAATTATTCCCAACTATCTATCTAACTCCCTAACAATTCCTCTCACTCTCTCACAATACAACTCGACCAACCCACTGCCTATTCCACCCTCTTCCTTCTCCAACACCAGAGCCTCAACTGCCAACTGACAAACCTCAACTCCCAACTCCCAAACCTCAACTGACTTTTCAAAACCTCCCACTCTATCTTTTACTCCCCCCTCGCATTCTCACTGGCCAATCACATCACACCCATTTTAACCCTTTCTTTGACGCATCATAGGAGGCAAACGCCACAATTCCCCATCCCTCTTGTGTTTAATTGGTGATGTCATATGACACTCCACCCCAAGAGTCCCATCCCACCTCCAAGGGCCGCCATGAAAATGATTTTTGGGGGTTCACACAACCCACCGGTGAAGTTGGCACACCACGGCTTCCGTCATGTGGGCAGGGACCACCCCCTTCGCAAGGAGGCATTCTCACCTCCCTGACCCAGTCAGCTGTCCCCTCTCTGCTAGTATTCCTCAGACAAGAGGGGCAAGGGGCAATGTCCTTGAATGTTACCAACTGAAACTCATCCAACACAACAGGGCTAGACCGTGCTCTGCATACCCCTTGAGATTCATCTGCAGTAACAGAGGGGTCAGGTTTCCAGTGGATGCAAGCAATTACTTCCTCAATATTTTTTGCAAACAAGTCACAGCATTGACAAGT